GTAGTTTAATATCAATTTTATAAGTATATAATTCAAAATAAGTTCAATGAAATCAAGATTTAAAATTGACTCGGAAATGTCACATTACAGTCAATTTACACGAGCAGAACATAAAACATGTGCTGTGCGTAATTTTCTTATAAACTATATTTTTAACGGGATTTCTTAATTAGCTAGAGGAAGCGTGAAAATAGGTCTAGAAAATTCTAATTTGACGCTAGAGATTTTCTCCTACAATTTTTTTGTTTGTGGAATTTCGCGCCAGTCGTCTCTAAGTTAGAAGTGATAGGCCAGAAAGCAGGCACCATGAACTCTTGGAATTATCAATGAAAAGTGGGATTGATCATCATTTTATGACGCTCCCACGGCTGAAAGGGCAAGCGGTTCGGTGATGGGATTCGAACTTGCAAGTTACGAGTTGAATGCCCTAACCACTAGCTCCATACACCTAAAGCTACATTACAAATATGAGATAGATGCGATTGTTTAAAGATGGTTGAATGAATCGCAGTTACTTTGTGAAGGAAAGGTGGTTTGGTATTACTTTAGTCGCAGATTGTTAGATGTTTGAATGTCATTTTGAACGGAGGTCTACAATAATTTACGATTGTGTACAAGTGTTTAAGATTGTATAAAAGTTAAAGGAGGAAATAAACTAATATTTTATAGTTCAAGTGAACTGGATGGACTTTTGAATTATTTTCACCAGTAATTAAGAACCCGTCCACGAAAGAAAGAATAACGCTAATGTCACAGGTGGGATATTTTGGTGAAAATAAAATATAACTTTGAATATATTTGAAACAGAGCTCTAACAGTTGAAGGTGACGACCACGAGGTTAAGTAGTGAGATTCAAGAGAATATCAGAATGGACAATTAGAGATAGAAAATAGGTAGAAAAGTAAAATAAAGCTAGAAAACACTGGAGAGAAAGTTAGACGAAAGAGATCGAAAATTAAAAGAACACGAAGAAATTTAAGAGAAAACTGAAAGATGATCAAGAAAAATATGCAATATTTAAAGAAAAATGAAAGCCAAATATAAACGTGATTGAGAGATCGGCAAAACTACTGTACATGTACAGAGAGAGATTACAGCAATAATATGTTATAAATATGGAAAGACTGTAATAGCGAAATTGAAAAAGTAAAGCAAGGCTGTAATATCAAAATTAACAGTGAAGTAAAGAAAGACATCAACGAGGTAGAAAAGAACCACATCAGTTGAGGAGTTCTAACCTAAGCCACCATCTGGTACGAGAGAAATATTTTAGTTTATACCTATTACCCCTACGAGGATATACAATCAGGCTAAAAGCAAAGTAGGTGTGCAACTTTAAAAGAGGCTCTGTAGATGATTGTAAGCTAGAATCCATTAAGGTTATGTAGAAACAAATAAAAATACCATCTCAAAGTAATATGATTTTCAGATTGAGTAATATCAAAACATCGGCTCACATTGACAATAACCTAGAAGAACTAAAAGGATTAGTTAGGCAAGTAGTTACACAGAACGCAAGGAATAAAAGAGAAGTCAACAAGTATTTCAAGAGTAACTTGAAGGGACACATTGTTAGGAACTGTAAGCAAAAGCCTGTATAGAATAGGATCTCTTCTTGAAAGATACCAGAAAGAGGTAATTGTTATAAATGCTAGGAACCTGGCCATTATAACCGAGACTGTAAGAAATCAACAGCTATTTTTAAGCGAAAGAAACAAGAGTCCAACCTGGTCAAAGGAATAACACAGAATTAGCAACACATCAAGAACACAAGAATTAGTTGAAATTATTAGATCAAAGTTCAACTGGGAATACTCCATCTATCTCAATTGAGAAAAATTGTCCACAAGTCCATGGACTTTTTGATGGAAAACTTGTAATATGACCACTGACACTGGCTCTACAGCTACAATTGTTCATTAATGTTTTTAATGAAATATGGGAACTGCACTTTATACATGAAGAAAGAGGAGGGATTGATGCAAATCATAGGTGAACATATCCCCTTCAAAGCCTAAACCTGTTTTACTGATTGGTCAACTAATGTGAAAGGTGGAACCAGTTTCAGTTTTTTCAATCTGATTCATTTGTTTTTAATAAGCCCCAACTTGATTGTGCAGTCTTGTCCTAATTTTATTTTATATGTGTCTCTACTTTTGATCAACAATCTGATATTAACAGCCATCCATCTACTTTGATTAAAGATAATTTTTCTTTTATCTTTTAATTCAAATTGATTTAACTTAAAGTACTAGAACTAGTATGATCAGCTTCAATCACCTGTATTTTCAGTTTACAAAGTTTATTTATGTCTTCACACCCATTTTATTTCTCTACCTACCTACAACAAATCTACTAGGTCTACGAATCTCCAGGTATTGAGAAGTCAAGTATCTGTTGTTAATCCTTGGTTTACCACAATAGGTATTTTATAATTTAAACGAGCAGAACATACAGACAGTATATAATGTTGGTCACCACATAATGCAAATCAAGTTCCAAGTCACCTTTTTGAATGCAATTATTAATTCAGAAATTAAAACAGAAGAGTAATTATGTGTCACACTATTAACCTATGGAACATATACTATGCTATTTAATTGCAAATGTGATAAACTACCAAGGTACCATCTCCTATTTCAAATGGTACCGCAATTAATGTTTTTATAATTTTGCAGCACTCAGAAGAGACCTTCTAAGTACACAGGAACAACACTCTGTACATGTCAACTTCCATGTTATCAAAATTCTTACACGGACACAATATCCCAAACCATTGTTCAGAGAAGATGTAACACTAGTATTTTTAGCCAAACAAAGAAGCAAAAACAGCAACCATTGGTATGGCCTGGATCTTAGTTAAGCTGCACAACCCTGAGAAGTAGCATGTGCCAAGTTAGAGCATCTTCAACCAATGTGTCCACATGCAATTAAACCAAAACTGTTGTAGATTATATTCCATTCATAAACGTCCATGCTCATGAGGTTCAAACCATATGACTGTTATAAATCACTAAATCTCGATGTATGAACAAAACAACTGGATCATATATATTATGTCATAACATTCGACAAACTGCACTTTTGTAAAGCAACAATTTTGAAATGCCTACATCACAATGAATGCTAGAATGTAGTTTTGTTACTGGGAAGATTTCATGTGGAAATGAACTTTGCTAAAGTGATTGCAGAGCACATTGTAGATTCTGGCATCCATGATACCTAGGCTTAGAGCAATGTTAATGGAGAGAAAACTGCAGATAACATCCTCAAAGGCAAAATGTGGAAGTCAGTAATCAGAGCTCATAAGCTTACATTTGAGGCTGTGTGAAGTGTCAGATGGCCAGACTTAAAAATACACTGCTCTTATTTGTCAGATTACATTCCTTCTGGACCTCTTGGCTCAATTTGATAAAAGAGAATGCTGTGTGTAATCTAAACTTTGCATACTGGCACCAGAACATACAAACTTGTGGCTGTGATTTACCCATGGTATTAGTCATGGCAACAAAAGATATAGAACTGTATTCATTCCCAACACGAAGCAGATGGAGCACTCTGTACCAGAAGTCTATGAAGGGTTTTTAGGAGGAGACTTTATCACGAAGGAAACTAAACAAACCTTCAATCAATTCCCTGATAACTAGATGATAGTGTGTGTGTCAATCCCATGGGCAAAGTTGATGGAGGGCTTGTTGGAATAACATGCAATGACACAGCTCTTAACTGACAGTCTTACATACAATTAGAAGGCAAAACTTGCGAGGGATTTTCATGCCATGTTTGCTATAGATACAGATGATGATGAATTCATCCACAAGGACTCTGAGTAGTATCATAAAAAGTGGGATCATGACGTGCTGAAGCTGAAGGATCAGCTTGAATGATTAAATATACATGCAGTTCAATGTGACCAGTTTCACAAGACAAAACCAAATCTTGACAACCCTCCATATACACAGAATGTCTTAACCCAACAATTCGTACAAGTTCACTATCAATCTCTTGTTTCAAAGTCACAGCTCCCATCTTTCCTTACTATGTCGGTGGAAGATGAAGAACAATACACTATTGACTCTCTTACTTAAACAAAAAATCTGTTTTGCACGGTTGCATATAATTTGATGACATCTGGAAGTGTAGAAGTTCAGACAGTGAATGGTGTAAAATCCAAAGATAACAGATCTTTACAATGACCCAGAATAGTGTGTAGGTATTACACTGCCAACCAAATTTTAAGTGAAATTACAGGTGTACAAGTATATTATATTCATCCATTTATTTCAAATTCATCAGTGAAAAGAAGACTGGAATGTTCATGTGATATAATTTAACCGAACCATACTTGTTTTATATTCTGCTCTAATACAAGCAGACTTATTAATGGTTGAGAACAAAATCCTCCATGTTTGGAAAAAGCCAAATAATTAATTGTCTTTTTATTTTATAACCTTAAAATGTGTTACATACTGACATTTTAAGTCAGTATCTCACCCTTAATGTACATCAATACAGCTTCAATATATAATTCATGGGAAAAAGTAAAAATTACCTCATTCTACCAGTTCTTCACTCCTAGGATCATTTGTCAAGATGACAACCAAATTATTATTCAGGAGTGACACATAAAGTATCAAACGGAAGTATTTGTCTACTTTTAATAAGGGGGTTTAATAAACCTCATTTCTAAGGCTCTTTCAGGAAATAGCTTGTAGATTATAATTTCATGAATTATATTAAAAAAACAACAAATGTTCAGAAGATTCACATACAATTCTATTAAAATTTATGCAAATATTTTTGCTCAAAAGTAAGAAATAGAAATTACTTAGCACTATATATGCAAAAAATACTACCACTAGACAATCACAAATACATTGTCATATTCAGCAGCACTAGAAGAAGATGTTAACATTTTCCTAATCTGAAAGTGTATTTACAATACACACACAGGACAGCTTTCTTCTTCGCATGTCTGCTTAAGAGAATTACATGCCACAAGCCTTGAGATAACTCTTGCCCAAGTCTCGTATTTTAACGTGAACTGTACTGGTGCATGATGACATCACCATGCAAGAAAAGCCCTCCACCACACAACTCCCATGCACAGTAACTCCCCCTATGCACTTGTATTCATGATAATTTCATTTTTTGGTGAGGCAAGACAAATATGAGCACCAAGAGCACAGAGAAGAGTGGGGATTTGTGTAGAAGTATCTATCAGGTATACATTTTCAGATTAGGAAAATGCTAACTTCTGAAATATTAACTCACCTCTAAACACAGAAAAGTTAGAATCCCATGTTGAAATGATGGAGGAGCTGGTGCAAAATTTTACGAAGATGAGTTCCCTTACAAAAGCACCTGAAGGGAAGCTCATAGAATCTGACACCTGATGGCAGGGGCTCCATAGGGGCACAGCCCTGGGAGACTGAATTTTCTCTTGATTTGGATATACTCTTCACTCAGAATATAAATGGAAAATATGCCCCATGTGTCACACGAACAGGCAGAATGAGAATAAGACCATCCTAGTACTTGTACATAAGCAGTTAGAGAGCTAATATGTGTAGTATGTTTGGGGCATGTTCAGACTGTATCTTGTGTGTTCACCTCAACTCTACTGAACAGACTCCATCTTCAGAAGGAAGGCACTTTAGTTATGCAGTATGGTTTCCTATAGTGTGTGCTCACCTCAACTCTACTGAACAGAGGGGGACACATTAGTTGTGTATCATGTTTTCCATAAATTGGGTGTTCACCTCTACTCAATTGAACAGGTTCTGGCAGCAGGAGGAGGGCACAAGTAGTATTAGTTATGGTTTTAGAGGGATGACTTGCACTACAATAACAGTGTCATCACTACCCAACCTCTCACCATATTGCACTAAGCCCAATTGGTGAGGAATCTCCATCATCCACCACCTCAGTGGCAAGGGTCTCCTGTGCTCCACTTAATTGAGGGTTGAGAATTTGTATTGAGGACACCCAGAGAAGTGCCCAGATCCACATCAAACCTCCAGCTGGAAATATCTTTTACTAGAGACAGTGCAATGGGTGACTGCAAATCCATATTTTTAAAAGCCAGCAAGCATGAGCCAAATATTTCTGAATTTTAACTAGATTGGACATGTTTTTCACCAGTGTTCCATAAATATTGAATACCCCAGCCAGGTTGACCGTTTAAAAAATACCTAAAATTTGTTAGTGCTAACAGTACACCATTACAACTACATTGGGGTTTCTATTTGCCTGTTTAGTAGACTAGTCTTCTTTATTGTTAACAGCCCTTTTCATGTCTCCTCTAAAGCATTTTTTTCTAGAATGTCAACCCAAGCCAGGACTATGGTCTCCAGATCCACTGTCGAGCCATTGTTGTCCTCGACCCATTTTGCCATAATTGAAGACACCCAGGATGACTGCTCCAGTTGCAACCAAGACTTGTTAATTGTCACTAATGATCCTTCCACCAATTCTTTGGATTCCATGCCACAGAATTCACCAAAGACAGTCAAGAAGAAAACAACCATCAGGAAAAAAGAAGTTTCCATCACCTCCTAGCCCTCAGACTAATAATACTGCTACTGGCATGAAAGCTCCTCAGTAATCTCCTGCCATTATCATTGAAGGAGTCTCGAGTACTTTCTGGCAATCAGACAAAGCCAAGGAACTTCACCACCTATTCCCTATAATTCCATTTACCAACATCAGCTACCTACCCAAGGATGGCATTGTTGTGCACACCCTCAAGGTTACTCCACAATCCTGAAACAGACAACACCTTCAGTGTTGTTATGGTTCCATTCACATTACTATTGAATCACTCCCAAGAGAGGAACTCACTACCCAGGGAATTAGCACTACCAAGATTGAATGCATCAAATCAGCCAGGGCCAGTCACATCACACCTCTGATCCACATCACAGTCAAGGACTTGAAGATAGCAGACATCTTAATCTGAGATGGCATTACCTTCTGGTATTTACACCACTCTGTAGAAGCCACCAAGACCACCACCCCCTAAGACAGTGCAGTGTTTCCACTGCCAACGTTTCAGCCATTTGAAGACTGTCTGTACTGCTGCTACCAGACGTGTATGCTGTGGAGAGATACACCCTGTCTCGGAGTGCCCCAATGCCCAGGAAATACCCAAATGTGCCAACTGCAAAGGATCCCCATGCCATCTCTTACTAATTCAGATGGCAAGCCTCCAACCTAGCACCAAGAGCTGCCACTACCACTTGTAGGACTCTTCAGCTTGGAAATGCTGCCACCTCAGCAAACAGCCATCAAGCTATTCAGAAGCCTTCAGCCCCCTACACAACACTGAAAAAGACCTATGCCAAAGCTGCCCAAGCACCTCTTCCTCAAACCCAACAGAAAATAGATCTCCCAGTATTGTACACCAGACTTTCTACCTTCATCAGCAATGCCATCTGGATATGCAGGGAGAATCCTAGCCTGATGATACATCTATGTCGTGACACAGACCTGTGCTGCAGCTGGTTTCTATTTCGAGTCTCCTGAGACTTCCAACCCTATCCTGCTACTGAAACTCCTTAATAAACACTGTGATGGTCAACATTTCAACAGGTAAGTACAATTTTTTGGTTTAAATGGTATGTTTCGAGGCGGTTGATACTATAAAAGGTTTGAATTGCTACAGTTATGCAAATCTATTAATATTGATATTATAAGCATAAAAGAGATGCTACATTAATGAAAATAGCAACTTTAGCTCACCTAAATACAAAATAATTCAGAAACACAAATCACCACATAATCAAGGCACTGCTCTTTGGTACCAAAATAACATCAAATTAACCTTACCACAAATTAAGTCTACATGGATCTACATCTTTCAGATTCACCCCCTCTCCCAATAACCCATAATCACCTTCATAACTCTTTATGTCTCACCTGCCACCCAACCTGACACTGACTTCTTACAAGTCTTATTCAATCTATACCACAAAACAATTATAGTAGATGATTTAAATTTCAAGCACACAGACTTTAATTGTAAAATAACTAACCCTAATGGCAGAATACTACATCAATTCCTAGAAAATAACCTAGTGACAATCAATACAGATGTAATAACACATCCATACAAATGGCTTACAAGATATTCTTGATCTTGTAGTTGTACCCTCAGCCGTGAAAAGGTCATAGAAGCCAATCCGGATCCAAAGGATCATATAGGCGAGAGACAGAAGGAAAGAAAATAGGAGAAAAAGTACAGTTATCTTCCAGAGTGATAAATGTTTTAGGAAAGAAAGATTGGTCCTGAGAGAGGAGTATATAAATGCAGTGGAAGAAGCTCTGAACGACAGCAATCGCAGGTGAAAAGAAGGGGAATAAGTCTGGACAGAAAGACAGAACAAAGAGGAAGAAGCCAACAGCTCGAACTGTATGCGTGAGAGAGTGCAAAACTACATTAAGGTCTCAATAAAGCAAGGGAGTCAGATGAGGAGAGTGGAGAAGAACGAGGGAGTGGAAAAAAAGAGGAGAGGATAAGGGAGGAAACACCATGTGGTACCAAAAAAAAAAGCAAAATGCAATGTACAAGGCTACCCGACAACCAGCAAAGGCCACGTAAAATGACAGAAAGATGGTTCAGAGAAGGATAACATGGAGGAAAAAGAGTGGCAAATGGACCAATGACAAAAGACCCACCACTGCCATTGACAGACATAGCAGAAGGGTGACAGGAATGCGACAAGAAGAATGTGAAAATGATGGGCAAAGGACTGGATGAATCCTATATTTAAAGATGAAGGGATGATATCCCTTGATGGAAAATTAATATGTGACCTCAAAGTAATAGAGAGGATATTGGGCAGAGAAAGGAGGGTGGAAACCAAAGCTCAACTGGCCATAGAGGTGCCAACAATAGAAGTATCGTGTATCAAGACGAGGACCCAAGAGAGGAGACAAAGAGAAGGTTAGATATATATAAAGAAGTGAGACCAGGCCCTCCTCAGGGCATCGACAGCCAGAGATGAAGGATGAAGCACAGGGAACTAGAAGAGAGGAAGCAAACCAAATGAATGACCTGGGGGTATACAGATCACTTCACTAATAGAATGTAGACAGGCTGAGAGAAGTGATCTGCCACCAAGTTCTTAGCTCTGGCAAATGACAGGGAACAAGATGAACCAAATGTGAATGGGCTTAAGAGAGTAGGTTCAAAGTCCAAAAACACAGCATCATGAAACATGCTCGATGTAAGAAACAACTATGGAATTGTAGGAGTGTATCATGAGCAAGTGATCATCTACAGAGATGAAGAAAGCATCCAGAAGTACCAAATACTGAGTGTGAGAGAAAGAACATAGATTTCATGACAAGCCACCCCAACTAAGTAGCCTCCTGTTAAAATAAAGCGGTGTATGAATGAGGATACCATCAAAGTATGGGCCAAAAGAAGCCAATTGTACCAGAAAAGGAATGCCAAGGCCTTGAATATGGCGAGAAAAGACCCTCACGATACAAATGAATACAAAAGATGCCGACACCATTTTGAAGGGAAGAGCAAGGAAATGGAAGATGTGAATCCAATGGAAGGAATATAGAAAACATAAGAAGAATAAGTTAAGAGGGATGTGTAGAAAGGTGTCTTACACTTTGATCATGGACAACATCAGACCGGGTGAAAAAAAGACTATAGATGGGGTCGGAGAGAAGGGATAAGGAAATGGAAAGAGGAGCAAATAGAAGAAAAGTGAGGAAAAATACCTTGGTGAATAAAAAAAGAGAAATAAAAAAAGACACATGAAAAAGATAAGGAAAGAAACATACTTGAGAATGAAATCCAGAATAACATAGGAAGGTTACGTTTGTTTCTCAAATAATAAGGCACTACCCAAAACAAATCGCAGTGCAATAGATCATTACCAACTGAAGAGAAATAATTTCGGCCAATGAGACAGGAATTGGAGGTCCATTAAGCATGTGGTAATCCACTACATGTTGAATAATGGCTGCAACATCCCTAACAGTTAAAGAGCCTCCAGAAGCAATAGAAAATATAAGGCCCATGTGTGAATAACGTCACTCACACAGGACAAAGTTTCATTGACAATGTAAATTTCAATAACTTGCACTCAGACGAGAAATTTAAACATGTCTGTTCAATAAAATGCCAAGGAGAAGAATGAAGTTATCACAAGTGCAGTGCAATGGGGGAGTTACTGTGTATGAAGTTTGTGTTGCCTTCCTATTGGTGGAGGGCTTTTATCACATGATGACATCATCATGCACTAGAGCAGTTAACAATGAGACACAGGAAATTAGGTGGGAGTTGCCTCAAGGCTAGTGGCATGCAAATCTCTTAGGCAGATGTGTGAGGAAGATAGCTTTTCTGTGTTAAAAGGTGAGTTACTGTCTCAGAAGTTTAACTTTTAGTAGACATTGACCTACTGTAAGAGGCAGACTGTATTATAAATAAAACACAGACTTCATATCTAACTATCCTATCTCTTAGCAGACACTGACCTAACATAAAATAAATGCTGTAGCATAACTCAATCGACAACAGGGAAAGACTATCCCATCTCTCAGCAGGAAATAACCTACCATAAGACTCATATTGTACCATAACTCAACTGATACAGACTTGATATTAAAAGAGTTATCCCATCTTTTAGCAGACAGACCCGACATATTGGATGGATCATACTATAACTTGACAGATACAGACCTGATATTAGAGATGTTATCCCATCTTTTAGCAGGCACACCTGACATTGAAAGGACTATACTGTAACCCAACAGATACAGACCTGATATTAGAGATGTTATCCTATCTTTTAGCAGGCACACATGACATTGGAAGGACTATACAGACCTGATATTAGAAAAAGTAATGTTAAGACTACATTTTAAATGCAAAAACTATTTTAGTACTGTGACACCATATCAGAGTTCAACACTTTTTACTTCCATCCTTTTTCTTCTGCAGTATTAGCAATAGTATATTCTGATTCTCTCTACTTGTATATGCATCTAAAGTATATCAAAATAGGACAACAATCAATACTCTTCAATTTCAAGTTGACTTGCCTTATAGTAATGCATCAGTGGTATATTTTAATTGCAATGTATCTGAAATAATAACAAAAGAAAGGCAATACAACAATGATGATTAAGACAATTTATCTTTATACCTACTTAACTGGTGCATGAAAAACCCAGTGGCTGATTAAGACAAAGAAAAGTATCTGCTGAACTTGCATGATACAAGTTATCCTTCTTTTGTGATATCACTGAAACTTATATAGTAACACATCTTTTTGGAAGATATCAATTAAGCGTATACCCAGTTGATATTCTCAAATAATTATTAGAACTAATACTCACTACATGAATAACAGACATGTGCAAGCAAAACTTCAGATGGCATTGAATATTTAATTATTTAAGGTTTTCTTTAGAATAAGAACTTCAGCAAATGACAAGCAGACTGTCATAAAATGTGAACATTATACACAATAATTTAATTCTATTCAATGCATATGATTATAGAACAAACTAAGCATAAAAAATATTTTCTTTTCCAGAAGTTTTTATCTAATTTTCAACAACTATGAAAGATATGAAACGGTGATTTCACTATTTAAAATGCAACAAGCTGGCAAGGTATTCTATGAAATACCTAAAGTAGGGTCTGAATAATCAAAGAACAATAACATGCATCCCAAACATCAGAGTAAGCACAGAGAATTTAAGTACATGCTAACAGTATCTAAAAACAACTCAAATAATTTAACAAGGTAGGTTTCCAGTATGTTATGTCAAGTTTATTTGTTATTTGCAGTAAGAAGAATATTCCACTCCTTACCTTAACATCTGTACAACCTATCAACATAAAATCAAAGTCTACTGTACTTCATCTCTTTTCTTCATTTCATTTTTCATATTTAAGCTAATTTCTAATCACTTTTTGTACAATTTGTTCACATCACTTCCAAAAAAAAGATCAAAATTCTCATGTCTCATTTAGCAAAATTGTTGTAGCTGCATTGAGATCATTATTTGATGTCTCTAGTGCTCTGACAGCACTTTGTCTTTCAAATCCCATTTCTACCAGCTTCTGAACCTGGAGGAAAACAATAGGTAAACTGTTCATATTCTACTTGTTATCTAAATGATAAGTTACATCTAACCTACATTAAAACACTTGCAAAGGATATGACATTTAGTTGTATTCCTTATGAAGTGTAAGGTAAAAAAAGTATCATACAACAATGAGTTTTATCAATCTTAGCAACTTTTGAGTTGTTAACTAAAAACAACATACAACAAGCCTAGCACTGCTTTTACAATACATCACACTACTTGCAGTTATAAAAGCTACCTCAAGTACCTTGATAAACAATCACAAATATTTCTAAACTACCTTAACTATTATGATTATATACACAGGTTAGAAGGATTAGTGCATAATATATTTTGATATTACTTAGATTTATTAACATTACTCTAATGTGAAATTTAAGAACACAACAGTTGCCTTTATATGGATTACATAACTATTAAACTGATTATTGTACAAATAGTAACCAGGAGATGATTATATTCTTTAAATGAGGTTTAATGAGGAATAGATATTCAACTAATATTAAAAACAAGCTTTTTTTATTGTTCACCTTACAACCATTTTGAGTATTTTTTACCTTTTCTTCTACAACAGGTGTGACATCATTGGGTTGTATTGTTCCATGAGATTCTAAAGAACTTCCTGCCACTAAAACAATAATAATACCCAAAACTTTACAACTTAATAAATTACACACAAACCATAATATGGCATTAATAATAACTTTGTAGGTATTCAAAATCATCTCAGTTAGAAACAATAAGGAAGAATAAACCAATCTCAATCTAATTGTACTATGTCTCTGTAATGTAACATTTCATGAGTGAACCTGAAGAACTATGATTTGGAGATTTTAAAACATAAAACTTATCTAGACAGTAACCATAACATTACATGTAAAGAAAAAAACTTTTCCAAAAAGGAAGTATGTATGGATGGTGAATATCAATCCTTCAAACACAATGCAAACAAGATAGTAGGGATGGCATTTGCATCATCCCTTCATAATAGCACAGGCACACAGTGTAGCAGAATGTTAACAGACAAAAATAGGATAAATTAAACTCAATTAAATAGTCATATTTATATATATTGATTACTACATGTTAATTCTTGCCTGTGCTATTATGTAGGGAAGATGCAAATGCCATATCTACTATCTTGTTTGCACTGTTTTTGAAGGATTGATATTAGCCATCCCTACATTTACTTCCCTTTTTTTCGAAAGTTTTTTTTCTTTGCTTGTTTGTTTTAATGAAGTGTTTCAATAGATATAGAAAGGTAGTATCTATAACCAATTTCGAAATTCAATGAGATTCCAACTGTAATACTTATTGTTTAACTATTATTGGCTGGTAATTCCATTTTCACCCTGTACTTAAGATTTTTAAAGAAACACCAAGATCAGGATGTTTCCTCTTGAGGAAGGCTTTCGTGACTGATGCTTCTAGTTGAAATACCTGGTCCACAATGGAACAGTCTACAAAAAGCACACTGAATGTCTGAGAGGAGGTTGTTTGATTCAAAGAACTATACAAGACAAGAATTAACTACCCTCTCCAGAGCTTTACAGACAGCTCGTCAAAACAATAAGTCTATAATTATATGGATTCTTGAGATCCTTTCCAGGTTTAGAAAACAACGAGATTAATAACTCAATACCATAAATCTGAGAACCAAATGAAGATTGAGAAAGACAGGAGAGAGAAAAACTAAATAGCATCTCATAATGCATTTCATTTGGTCCACCTTATGCCATAAAAAGGGAAGTTTTAGTTCCATCAATATGAAAGGTTGATTCAAGTCATAAAGACAGTTGGTTCAGAAAGATTGGGTTCTTTCAGTGTTTTGATGGCCAAAAAAACAAGAATATAAATGGAAATGACTGAATAAAAGGAAAATAAAAAGGAATTCGAAGTGGAAAAGATGTTGGAAGTAAATCTAATCCAAAATTTCTTTTGACTTTAACATCTAAACTGCTGGGTACAGGCATGAGCCCTTTGAAAGGCAATGCAGTTTGAGTGTGTCATGATGAAAAAGACTGTTTGGTTTAAATATTAGTGATAAATTTATATTTGTGAGTGAATACTTTATTATTTTAAAATTTTGTTATAATAAGAGTTAAAAGCAGACAATTGTAGAAGGTTTTGTTAATAACTAATTGGTTTCAAGAACATAGAAAGTGGCCAGACGACTATGTAACAATGATATAAATAGCGGGAGATGAGAGGGAAGAAGACGACAGACAACAATAGACAGATAAGAACAAAAGAGAATATAGCTGTGTGAAGTTAAGTACTGTAGATGTGATAGGCTTAACGATTGACATAGGCCTAGCATTTAATATGTTAGAGTGAAAATAACAGTATAAAAAAAGATAAGAAGGATAATTTTATTACATCAAAGCGTGGATCTAAAGTAATTGAATCAGCCCGAGTACACTTTGACAAAAGGAACAGAGGGTCTTCAGAAGAAAGTAAACCAAATGAATTATGGTAATTTGCGGCACAACTGTAAGTGAATTACACACAGAATACCAGTACAACAGTAATATAGAGAAGATAGTTCGACTTGTCAAC